AATTATCATAATTTAATTTATTTCCACGATCTTCATTGATACTTTACTTACTCCCAGCATAAGCAATACCGGATCCACACTCAATCAATATTTTTAATGAAGTAACTAATGCCTTGATCATCACTTTCAACGTGGCGGGTCTGGGAATTCTACAAAAACGCGTTGTACTCTCGATAGCATTTTCACCTTTTATAAGGTAGCAAGGGTAATTCAGATAAAATTACTTTCACATTTCAATACAAATGAGTGATGACGAGATTTGAACTTAGATTTTTACATGCTCTGATATCATGTTTAAATCGTTTGAACTAAAAGTTCGAATTGTTAAATCGGATGATTCAATAGGATCAATCGTTTGAACTCAAAGTTCATGCTCTGATTTTTCATTTTTTTTCTCATTCTTCATTTCAACCATACATTATATCAATAAAATAATATTACACATAAACTCAAAAATTTTCCTCACTTTTTAACCACACATTCTTCTATCAATTACTATTCCAAATCAAATTCTTATCCAAAATGGATGTCAAACACAAGATTACCAATAAAGTCTTGTTGAGATGAAAACCCGACAATTTAATTAGTAAATACACATTTTTATTCCAGATATTCCACAAGTAAAGACTTGGCGAAGGTGAATTGGGATTATTAAACAAAGTGAAACCTTTCATGCACTAATTAATTGCCTAATGAGCTCTAGTCAGTCAAATCTTTAAATTATAGTGTTTCTCATCCATCATATATATCTTTCTTTTGTGCTTTATCACAAAAAATAAATATACTAATTAAGCAAAAGAGGCTAATGCTGTAAAACAAACAAGATATCATAATTGTTCTGATATCAATTGTTGTGATCATACAAATCAACGGATTGATATGTTGAAATTATATGGCAAATAGTAATGAAGTATGTGATCAAATAAAAGAATAATAAAGACAAGAATGTGACAGAAGAATTAAGAGATTTTATTAACTCAAAAATAATGGAGAAAGGAGAAAAATTACAATTGATTCTATAATTCTAGTAATCTATTTTCTCACACTTATAAAATTGTATAAAAGAGCCTATTATTTTTAGGGAACATGTAAGGGACACCCAAACCCTCTTGATAGAATTGTTGATGAAATGGAATGCCAAAAAATCGAGTCCAAAATGAAGTACGAGAGAAAAAAGCGAAAAAAACCCGAACAGCACAGGTGTCGCTACGACACCCACCTCGGGCACCTCGGCGCCCCGTCGCCGGGCAATTGCTGAATTTTTTTTTTTTAATTGTTTTTTACATCCAAATTCTTCTTCGAGTTTAATACCAGATTTTCAACTCTCAATGGACTTCTAAAATAGAACTTCAACTTGACATAGGACTTTGATAACATTCCAAACTAAAGTCTCTTCGACGTGCACTTCAATTGAAATTCTTCAATAGTTCAACAAAGAATTCGAGTCACACCCAAATTCTAACCACT